GAAAAGGCTCCAACCCGGAAGAGGGCTCTAACCTTGGACTCCAGCCTCCAGAACTGTAAGAAATAAATATCTGTTGTTCATAAGATACCAAGTCTACGGTATTTTGTTATAGCAGCTTGAAGAGACTAAGATCGGCAACTTAAATTAATAATAATGATGGCCATAACGATGAGGAATAAGAAAGTCCTTAAGTAAAGCAAAAAGAAAAAAAAAAGGAATGAAATGTGAACACATCAAAATTGAAAATGGGAAAGTCATCTTTTGCCATGCATAAGTTAGAAATTAAGAAATTCAAAGACAAACCACAAACAGGAAGAAAGTATTTGCAACATCTTTAACAGCTAAAGATTACCATCTAGAGTACATAGAGCACCCTCAACAAGGAATATAAGCAAGGGACACAAGATTCATGTAAGAGAAAACAGGAACAGTCCATAAAGGCATAAAAATAGACACATCTTACCATCAAGGCAGACACTGGCAAATCAAAACAGAGATAAAACAGCTGCATCAATACATGCAAATATACATGAATACAAAAATAAAAGGTTTCTTAATAATGTTGGTGAGGCCTGAAGAAACAGTTCCTCTCACACACCACTGATAGGGCTATAAAATGATGCAACTATTAACTAAAATTTAGGATATGTATAGCCTTCAATCAGCAATTGTAGTTCTGAAAATTTACCTCAGGGAACCCCTGACCCATCTACCCAGAGAGGGCTATGCAGGCTGACTATTACCCTGTATTACAGGATTGTTCCCTGTAGGCCCACATTAGAAACAAACACCCACAGTCCGCCAGTGAGAAATTATTATTAAATAAAATTTGGTAATCCATTCCATGGGATATGACAGAGAAATTTAAAAGTAAGAGGTAGATCTACATGTACTTACATGAAAAGTTCTCTAAGACAAACTAATAAAGTAAAACACAAGTTGGTGAAACAGTAAAAACGATGTGATGGTATTTAGGATACAAACAGATATAAACAAAACAAAATGAACTATTTCCATAGATATGCATGTAAAATTCCTTCAGAGGAGACAGGGAACGCTACCATGGAGCTGTTACCAGTGGTTGACCCTGGAGGGTACACTAAGATTGGGTCAAAGAAAGAGGGGCTAAGGGCATTTATACTACTTTATTCTCTTATGCAAAGAACACATTTGTGTGTTATTCACAAAATTAAAAATAAATAAAATCTGTAACAACAAAAAAGAGAAAGTAGTAGGAGTCCTACATTTAAAATGTGTCTTTTTCCTCCTATTCCTTTTTTTTTTAATTTTTTTTTTCAACGTTTTATTCATTTTTTTTGAGACAGAGAGAGACAGAGCATGAACGGGGGAGGGGCAGAGAGAGAGGGAGACACAGAATCGGAAACAGGCTCCAGGCTCCGAGCCATCAGCCCAGAGCCCGACGCGGGGCTCGAACTCACGGACCTCGAGATCGTGACCTGGCTGAAGTCGGACGCTTAACCGACTGCGCCACCCAGGCGCCCCCCTCCTATTCCTTTTTGATGTAATGTAATTATGTGCTCCTCTCCTCTCTCCCTCCAAGCTCCTGCTTTAGGGATACAAGGAGGAGTCTGCTGGGCTGGACTTCTTGGATCTGAACTAGTAGTAACTAGTTTTATTTTTACACCAACCTTGGCACAGAAGCAGGGCATCGAGTTGCAAGGCAAAGGTCTACTTTGTTTCATCTTCTAGCAGAATAGGTTTGTATTAGCTCTTTAACATTGACTTCTTTTTTCTTCTTTAGCTTTTCCTCCAAAATTGTGATGCAGATACTTCCTGTAGTTACATGGTTTTCATGGCTGATACTTCCTGTGTTGGTTCCTTGTCCCAATCTGGCATAGCTCCAAAGAAAAGTCATAGACTAATGCCAGCAACCCCTTACATACTCCAGCCGTGCAGGAGCCCCTCTCACCCACAATTACAGATAAGCTCATCCTCTTGACCTAACAGACACTGACATAAGAAAAACCACCGTGCTTAGAACAGTCTTATTCAGAAACATGCTGTTGCTACTTGCAGTCAATAAGATGTACAGAGCCAACAGTAAAGAAGAAAGTGATTAAAATAAGTCCAGAGCTGGTACGAAGAATGAACATATATCCCTTAAGATCATGGTCATGTTTATCTGCTTCCCCCAACCTCAAATATTTTTTCAATGTTTCACCAAAGCACATGTTTGCTACCTAAAAATCACTTGCTACTAGCTCCAGTGTTTTAATTCCTAAATCTATCATCTGTGCTGTCTGTCTTCTTTGCCACCCGTCATTTCTATGATGAAAAATCAAAGGGGGAGTTAGAGGGAGGGAGCATGTCACTGTCTATGGAGGATGAATTCAGTGGCGCAAAATCAGTGGCTGTGGTCTACAGTAGAATGGATAGTAAGGTACAATGTATAATTTGGGGTGGTATCATGTAGCCGCTATAGGAGAGATGACATGGGTAAGACATTGAGTAAAATGTGAGAATTTTCCTCCAGTGCTATAAAAAGAAAGATCTTGTAACAAGAGCTTCTTTCCCAAGAGCTTCTTAAAGCCACTCGGCTCGCCTCTGAGCAGACCAGGCGTCGTTTTGGCACAGGCTCCGTGGACAAAGGAGAATTTAGGTAGGAAGAAGCCCAAAGGGAGAAGAGAGGTACATTATAATAAATACCAATGCACACTTCCAAACCAATGGAAAACAGTGTGTAAAATCAATGAATAAACTTACAAGTATTTTTTTCCTCTGAGACATCTCTGTAATATATGTGATAGATTCACATCACTAAGAGTCACTGTTTGAAAAAAATATTTTGAAGAAAGTGGGCCTCTAAGTAACATCATGATTGCACCTCTCAGCCAGGTACCATCAAATGATCCTATGCAAAAACAGCGACTAAAAGCTTGGCTTCCCACCCCTCATTTGAGAGCACCATCTTCTAGCATACATTTCCTCTAATATATCACTTACACCCGTCCATCTCCTAGAAGTGGATGTATCACTCCTTCTGGCTCCAAGACCGGGCATAAAGCCAGAAGAAAATGACAAACTTGGAAGCAATGAAAGTTTAATTTTTTTTTCTTAAATCCTCTCATCTTTTGTATACTGATATATGATCATTGACTAAAAAATAAACCTCGTAACTCTGATCTATGAAAATGGGATGACTTCGGTATTTAAAAAGTGAAAAATGAAATTTACTATCTTCTTAGGTAGAACTGTAAGATTAATATCCATGAGAGGAAAAGTAATAAAGAAATAAAAGGAATTGCTAACATATTATCTGTTTCAATTGGTCATAAACAGCACTACAAGCAAGAGAAAACGGTTGTGGTAAAAATCTGAAATAAATTTTCCCACATCTGAAAATAGGCATAAGTCAAAATCCTGGGTTCTCAGAACAATAGACATGCATCAAAGAACCTTCGGTCCTAAACCCTTTCTCTTTCTTAAGCAAAGAAATATTTATGATTGGTCTTAGAAGGGAGTTTAACTGAGTTGCCATGAATTATTAAAAAACCCCAAAATACCTTCTGTTGCTTTTATAGAAGCTTGATTTACAAGCTGAAAAATCAAACTGACAGTTAAGTCCCTTGTACAAATACCCAACCTTTAAAAATGCCCTGGGCATTATAAATATATCTTTCATGAATATAGCTGCAACAGTTCTAAAAATAGCTTTTAGGAGGAAAAAAAAATTCTTTCAAGCCATTGTTTTATACATAACAGCAGGAAACCAAACAGAATGTCAAACCCAAAGTGATTAACACACCCAGTAATAAACATGAACATTAAGTAGCAAGTCTTACAAATGAAATACATTTTTTTGACATTAGCTTAGAGTCTATGGTTTAGCCCTAGATCTATGGCCAGAGATGATTCCAGGGCACCCATATTCAAAAAGTGATTCGAGGGCTACAGGGCTAAAATTCACCTTTTAGATGAGTGTAAACAGGCACGTTCAGGACTGGCCCTGGGAGGGAGGTATTACCATCCAGCACCCTGAGAGTTTCTTCCAGGCTCCACCCTGACCCCAAATATGCCATTTCACACAGCCAGTTCCAGACCACTGCTCACAGGTGAAGTCCAGGTTGCCCCAAAGGCAGAAGAAAAGGCCAACAAATTCCAGTAACTTTGGCAATAGTGACCTAACTCAAGGATGTGAAAAGACTAAGAGCCCTTCACAATGTGGTACCTGGTATTTTATTGGTTTAAATATGTATTTAGCACTCTCAATAAAGCTTACCCATATCTCCAAATAACAGAACTTATAGGGTCACAACATTCTGTGTTCTGTGACCTCACAGGTTCAAATCCAGAACCACTGTTTCTTGAAATAATAACTACTTTCTATGAATATTTTTCTGCCCATTAAACCCCAAATAAATCTTGTGATTTGCAGACATTCTATTTAATAATTCAATATGGAATTATCTCAATTGGCTTCATAATAAATGAGATCCTAAACTCATGAAATGGTAGACAGAAAGCTAAATATGAAAAGAAAATCTTGAAACACTGAAGGTATAAGCTAAAGGAATCTTATTCTTAATTTTCTAATGTGAATAAATGATCAAGACCAAATTCCTGTGCCAAGGCCAGGCGAACCCTTAATAAGCAGCAAAGGGGAGAAGGAAGAGAAAAGGAAAGCCAAACTTATAATGTGGGTCACAAGTGATTTTCTCATCATTTTTCTTTATTCTTTATGAGTAGAACTGGAGGGGGGATTTAAGTCACTAATACTGGCTAATTTTCTTCTACAACAAATGTAATTCACATTTCCATGTTCTTGTCCTGAAAAAATGGCAATTGTTCTAGGATTCAGCATATCTAATACTTTGGGCTAGAATCCTTGGAAACTCCTAAGACATTTATTTCTAAGTAGAATCTTTAAATAAATTACAAAGGGTCATTCATGAAATGGATATACTTATGGAGGTAAGTTAAATACTTTGCAAATCAGCAACAAACTAGAAAATGTAAGAAAGACATATCTCACTTTTTACCTTATTTTGATCTGTCCAGTAAAAGAAAAATCCCTGAGGGTCAGTCCTCAAAATAATTGGAGTGACAATAGTGGAGTCCTAGAAATATAAGAAAAAACACAAATATCAACATATATCATTGTAGGAAGTCCTACCCAGGAGTTACTTAGCAAGTAATAGTTGTTACAAGTTTCTCAAGGGTCAGCAATTATTAGTAAAAGTTTCAAAAAACTAGACATGGCATCCTCACTTCACAGCATTATTAATTACATAACTAAGCTTCTTTACTAATAATTAGAATATCTGTGCATTACTTATAAAAGAAAAGCCCAGGTATGCACATATTTATGAAGACAAATTGACATGTATTCTATTCAAAGCTCTAATTTTCCAAATAATTTTAATATTAAACACCATTACATATTTTATATGATTAAAATTAATTAAAATCCATGCTTGAAGGTAATATTTTAAATTACATTTGTTCTATAAAATTATTTTTTATTGTACTAAAGAGAGTAAACATATTATTTGGGCATTGCTGTTTCCAAGGTAACAATAAATAAGGCCATGGTCTACATTTTAGGAAAGATATACACAAAATTGTTGCAAATTTAAATTTCACAAGATGAAATAAAACATCATAGACAAATAGTCTTCGGGAGTTTAAAGCATGTACATTATAAAGCAAAAACAGCATGCACTGTAATTATAATATTAAACATTTCTAAAATATGTGTTCTTTTCTTTTGGCAATTTTCAGAAAGGCATACCATCTGTACAAGAAAACACATGTCACTGGATATGGATTTTTATACTGAAATACTTGGTTGGGCCTTTGCAGGAATTACATTTTTTAAAGGAGACATAAATTACCTGTTTATTTCAACTATTTCATACACATTATAACTAAAGTATGGCATATCGTCTATCTGATCAAAGATACTTATAATGAAAATTAGAACTTGCAGAAATAATTTTGGAATTGGGGACTGTTTTCCTGATGGGAAGAGTAGATCAATGTTTTTAGTCCACATGGTAAGTCTTATTAGAAAGCTCGGTTCTGAAGGCCATCCCCTTGGGGATGCCTGTCCCCCCTGGGTACCTCATCTTACACAGCTACAACTGAAAAAAAAAAACCATAATAATACCTACCTTAGAAGGTGTCTGTGTGAATTAAATAGGAGAATTTGGGTAAAGTACTTGAACCAAATGCTTGCCTCATAAAAACATTTATTGTTATTAACGGATTATGCTTAAAAACTGACTTATTAAAACAGCAAATGAAAGTTTATCATGGCATTCTTTTTTTATTATGGTTTTGTTATACCGCTAACATAAAAATTCCTTTTTTTAAGCATAAAGTTCAGTGGCATTAAGTACATTCACACAGCTGCGCAGCCATTACCACCATCCATTTCCAGAACTTTTTCATCTTCCCACATGAAACTCCACAGTCATTAATCACTAACTCCCCATTCCCTCTTCCCCAAGCCCCTGACAATCACTACCTACTTTCTGTCTCTATGAATTTGACCACTCTTGATGCCTCACATAAGCAGAATCATACAATATTTATCATTTTGTGACCGGTTTATTTTGTGACTGGCCTAATGTGTTTAAAGGTTCATCCATGTTGTAGCAGGTGTCAGAATTCCCTTCCTTTGTAAGGCTGACTAATATTCCTTTGTATGTATACATCACATTTTATTCATTCATCCATCTGTCACTGGACACTTGAGTTATTTCCATCTTTCCACTATTGCAAAAAATGCTGCTATGCACAGATTGACAAATATCTGAGTCCCTGCTTTCAACTGTTTCATACCCAGAATGATCATACAATAGTTCTCTGTTTAAGTTTTTGAGGTCCTGCCCTTCTGTTTTATCCTGATAATTTTAAGATTTATTCTTTTTTTAAAAATTTTTGATGTTTATTTATTTTTCAGAGAGAGAGAGAGAGAGAGAGAGAGATGGAGCGTGAGCGAGGGAGGGGCAGAGAGAGAGGGAGACACAGAATCTGAGCTGTCAGCACAGAGCCTGACACAGGGCTCAAACTCACGAACCCCAAGATGATGACCTGAGCCAAGTTGGACACAACCGACTGAGCCACCCAGGTGCCCCTTTTAAGATTTATTCTTAACATGCAGTTTGAAAAATATCTTTTACAAGGATGGTGCTGTGGCACAGAACTTCGGCTGGAACTTCAAATTTTAAAATTACTCCTGAATGTTAAAAAAAAAAAAATGAAAACCAATTTAATAAGATAATAAAAGAACAATTTTTAAAATAGTTTAAGCTTCACCTATGAGATTATATGCATAAATGTTCAGAGCAATATTTGCAATAAATCACAGCAGTATTTTCAGTTCTGTTTCATTACCCATCATCCTCTAGAGTCGGGCAAAATGAAACTTTCTGACAGGCTGCACACAGCACACATCCCCACTTCCGGTGAATCTGGAATTAGCCTGTAGTTTTAATATATCATCCTCAAATCAGTTCCTTTTCTTATTAGGGTGTCTGACAAGAGCATCTGACAAGATTGTAATCGAAACCTTGGTGACAATTCACTGCAAGGGTCGCAGACAATCAAATATTTAAAGTCATCAGGGCAAACCTCAAATTTATATTTTAGAACACTGTACTAGGCTGCCTCATTTGCTTCTGATACTGCTATTTCTAGCTTATTCCTTCTCCTCCTTCAAAATTAAAGCTGCCTTGTTAAATATTTTCTTGACCTCACTCTTCCGGCCATGGTTCCTCTGTTAAATGATCTTTTATCTCGTCTACCTGCTTACTTCCTCCATAATCACCCCTAACATTCCAAGATCAGCTGGAACTTGGCATTCTTGCCATCGAAGGCAGGATTTGACCCAGAAATACATGAATATCCATTTTCAATTCCACCTGCTTTTTTCCCACCTCCCACATAGCTGCAATGTCTATATTCTCCCGTACCAAAGTAGCCACTCAACCCATATCACAATTATTCTTAATTGTCAGAACATAAGCTCTTGTTTGAAGTTTGAAATGCATGGTCATCCTTCATTTTCAAGGGAACCGCTGATGGACTGTAACTCTTTAAGCATTTTACTGCCAAAAAATGGAGACAACTCTCGGACAGTCTGTTTCTCTCCATCAGCATCCATAAGATATGTATTCCATATAAGATGGTGGTTTTCAAACTTTTGGGTACGTCAGATTTACTAAAAGGACTTGTTAAAACACAGACTGCTGGGACCCTTCCCTAGAGTTTCTCACTTGATAGATCTGGGCTGGAGTCTGTAAATATGCATTTCTTTTTTTTTGTTTAATTTTTTTATGTTTATTTATTTTTGAAGGAGAGAGAGACAGAGTGTGAGTGGGGGAGGGGCAGAGAGGGAGGGAGACACAGAACCTGAAGCAGGCTCCAGGCTCTGAGCTGTCAGCACAGAGCCCGACGCGGGGCTTGAACTCACAGACCTCGAGATCATGACCTGAGCCGAAGTCGGACGCTTAACTGACTGACCCACCCAGGCACCCCTAACTGTGCATTTCTTACAGGACCTTAGTGCTGCTGCTGCTGCTGCTGCTGCTGCTGCTGCTGCTGCTGCTGGTCTGGGGACCATACTTTCAGACCCACTGACATAGGCCTACAAAGGGTGAGGTTTTGGGTCAGGAACACAATGATGTAAAGGCACCAGTGAGCTTAAAAGGTAGACAAACTTGTGTCTTGTAAGTATATTGTTTCTAACTAAGAATTCAACTTTAACTTGTTTATTTCAAGTTGTAAGTTTCTTTTTTCCCAATAAACATCTGCCTTGAGAAAGAGAGCACTGATAAACATACCTGTCTTAAGTTAGTAATAGTGGATAATGCACAGTTAAGTTTCCATTTACTTCTCTTCGTTTGACAGAAACTTACTCACATCCCTATCTCATCAATATATCAATAGTGAGACTAATATGATATAAGAAGCTACTGCTTTGCAATTTACTTTTTTCATTATTGCCCCATGAAGGAGCCCTTTTAGACATTTATTTTCCTAATTATCCACAATGAAATTTTAATATCACAGATGTCCTATCTATTTATATGCTCTACGTGTATCTGTGTTCTATACAAAAATTAAAAAAAGAATAAGATATTTTTGTCCCTCAAGACCATTTTTCATTTTTTGGAGGTGATTTGGCCCCAACTGAGAATGTATGTTCTGTGCCTGCATGTCCAAGATGGACTCATGAGCCACCTGTGGCTACTGAAAACTTGGAATGTGGCTAGTTCAACGGAGATGTGCTGTATAATTTCAAAGACAAGGAATGAAAACAAGAATATAAAATAGTTCATTAATAATTTTTAATATTGATTATATAATGAAAACAATATATTGGGTTAAATAAACTATATTGTTAGAATTAATTCTACCTGTTTCCTTTTACTTGTTTTACTACGGCTATTAGAAAACTATAAATTTCCTAAGTGGCTTAAATTATATTTCTACTGGGTAGTGCAGCTCTAAACTTTAAAACTCTAAAAAGGTTTCTTCTTAATAGGGAAACGTTTTTCACAAAGCAAAGCACATTTGGTCAGATAATTCCATTTAGCAAGTTTTGGGTTTTTTCCATGCATGCATCTACCATCCAGTTTTAACATCTAAGTAGTACAAAATAAATTTAGTTGCTTCTCTAAGGGTCAATTCTTCGAATATCTGAATAAAGCCATTATGTTGCTGCCCTCTGAGGCCATATATTTTGCTAGGTTGAGGTATATTGTGGGCTGAATTGTGCCACCCACAAAAAATGTATATATTGAAGTCCCAACCCCCGTACCTGAAAATAACTGTCACTTTATTTGGAGACAGTCTGTACAGAGGCGATTACGTTAACAGGAAGTCACAAGGGTGGGCCCTAATCCAATAAGGCTGGTATCCTTATAGAAAGAGGAAATTTGGACACAGACACGTACAGAAAGAAGACGATGTAGAGACCCTGGGAGAAGACAGCCATCCACCATCCAGAACAGAGGACTGAACAGATAATTCCCACATGGCCCTCAAGGAAGGAACCAGTTCTGCACCCTGATCTCAGATTTGTAGCCTCCAAAATTGTGAAAATATACATTTCTGTTGTTTAAGCCCCCCCAGTCTGTTGTACTTTGTTACAGGAGCCCAAGCAAACTAGTGCAAAGAGTAACCCTAAACCTTAAGACGAATGTCAAGGACCAGTCCACAGACCCACAGCTTATTCCTTAGTACCATTAGCAGAAAGTCTATTGGCCAGTGTTGACCACAATCCTCACTCCACGGTGATTCTATGTTTTTATGCTGTTACGAGAGAACACATAGGAATAAAGACCTGGATTTCTAAATTAATCAATATTACAGAGTCAACAAGGAGAAATGACAAGCAATGTTCCACAGGGAGTGCCCGAGACCTGCATTAGGAAAAAGTAGAGCGGAAGATGGCAAATATATACATTGTAGGGGAAACAGTTGTGTAAGGAAAAAGAGTCCTATGGGTCATAGAAAAGCAGATGTGATCCCATCAAACATCAGCAACGCAGCCCTAACTATGAAAACAACAAATAAAAATAAAACAATAGAAATGCTAAGGTGCTGGCTTAGGATCAGCGAGGTTAAACTTCTACATGCATCTGCACTGATGAGAATTTTCTTCCAGGGGTCTATGCAGTGTGAAATTTCCCCCAAATAAATGAAAGCAAAGGAAGTAACGGGGTCCAGAAAAGAAGACACAGAACAGTAGAGAGAAGCACCATTTTAGTATTTGCATTTCACCGATAGGTATGAAAATCTCTCTTAGTACAATACAGGGAAAAGTTGGAAGCATATTTCTTCAAATATCACACAAGGGAACTTAAGACACTATACTACAGATTCAAACAAGAGCCCAGATTCCCAATTATCCAAGGTGCTCATTGCTTAGTGGGGACATCAGATGAGGAAACTGACCATTTTAGCAAGATACAGCTCTGGTGGGTGTAAACTGGCATCTCACTGTGGTTTGAATTTGCATTTCCCTATGACTAATGACTAATGATGTTGAACATCTTCTCATGTGCTTACTGGCCACGTATGCGTGTGGCTCGTGTACGCACACGTGCGCGTGCCTTTGCACATGTGGTAACCCGGTCCTTTTTAAAATCAGCTAAGATTTAAATCAGTACTTTGAATGTGAATCAGTGGTTCTGAACTGGGGCAATTTTGCAATGTCCTGAGATAATTTTGTCACCCTGGGGTCTTTGCTACTGATATCTAGTGGGTAGAGACCAGGGGTGGCACAAAACATCCTACAACACACAGGACAGTCCCCTACAGCTGGCGCAAAACATCCTACAATGCACAGGACAAGTCCCCTACAGCAAAGAATTACCTAGCCTCAAATGTCAATAGCACTGAGGTTGAAAAACACAGCTTAATGGCTTCCCATTGACTTTATGATAAAACCTTGCCATGGCCTAAGCAGGCCACTTGCCATTTTGCCAGCATCACCTGAGCAACAAACTCCCAACCTGCTTATTCTGCTATGTCCTTCAAATGACATCCTTTGATCCTTGGAATGTCCCCATGTGCTGTTCCCTTGGCCTGACACACACCCCCCTCCTCTTGTTGACCTAAGTCCTACTTATAACCCAGGTCTTTCCATAAATAGAATGCCTCCTGGGGAGCCTTCCACATTTCTTATGCTCACATGTACTTCTGCACCTTTTTCTATAGCACTTACCACCATTATAATGAAATAATTATACTTCTATTCCATTAGCATCTCTCTCCTACAATAGAATACAAACGCCATGAGGGCAGGAGCCAAACCATTTATCATCATAACTCTGCAACACTGACAAGATGTCTAGCTTGTAAGAAGCATCAATGCTTGTGTTCATTATGAATACTGAATGGGTGGATGGAAAAGAAGCTAGGTACATTCTGAAAAGTATCAGTTGAAGTTGACATCTCACACGTTTCCAGTAGCCTTGGCAAGAGAAATTTCAAAGCAGTGGTAAAGGCAGAACAAGACTTTGGAGGATTTTGTTGCGGCGAGAGAAGTCAGAGGAGACAATAACTATGTGTGGAAGTCTGGAGAACATTGTGCTGGAGTCTTTGTTGGCATTTCTGTGGCTAAAAGGCATATATTGATATGTTTTTAGAGGAGCTTTGGCAGAGGGAAAATGTTCACAGATATTATCAAAAGCGAGCTAATAATAAAGTCAGCATCCAGAGAAACTGGGCAACATGGACTCCAGAACACAGAGAAGATGTGCTTTCCCAGGGACCAGAGGGAAGGTGGGAGAGTGTAGGTGGCCCCAGTAATTAAATGAAGAGTGGGGAAGGGAGGAAGTCTTTGTGAATCATTACCATAATAAAGAGAATGTTTTCACAACTATCAGTCTTTCATCTGTCACTTCCAACACATCTGAATTTCTTTAAGGAAAATTTTCACAACAATACCTGGGTACTCATGTGAGCATCTTTTTTAGAAAACGGAAGCCACAGGTAACATTCAGAAGATGGGATGTAAATACATTAAGTATCACAATTTTCAACCAATATTGAATTGCAATTTAGTACACACTC